TGATCAAAACAAAAATTGCCAAGGACCTAATGGCACAAAATTCTCAGCTTCAATTAACAATGTATCATTTGTGCAACCTACAACTGCACTTCTCCAATCTCATTTCTTTGGACAATCCAAGGGTGTATACAAGCCTGATTTTCCTTATAGTCCTTTAAATTGGTTTAACTACACTGGGAACCCTCCGAATAACACCTCAGTTAAGAAGGATACAAAACTTATGGTTTTGCCATTTAACACGAGCGTGGAGTTAGTGATGCAAGACACAAGTATTCTTGGTGCTGAAAGTCACCCTCTTCATCTTCATGGATTTAACTTCTTTGTCGTTGGCCAAGGGTTTGGGAATTTTGACCGCAATAAGGATCCAGCAAATTTCAACCTTGTTGATCCTATTGAGAGGAACACTGTGGGTGTCCCTTCTGGTGGTTGGGTTGCTATTCGATTTCTAGCAGACAATCCAGGTAACTTAAAAAATTTGCATTTAAAATGTCTACTAATATCATTCGTTCAATTATAAGTCCATGTATCAATTCGTTATAATGTTGTTTGTGTTACATCAGGAGTATGGTTTATGCATTGTCACCTGGAAATTCACACGAGCTGGGGACTGAAAATGGCATGGTTGGTTTTAGATGGAAAACTTCCCAATCAGAAGCTACCTCCTCCCCCAAAAGACCTCCCCAAGTGTTGAGAATTTTGGTTCAATTTTTGTACCTCTTATTTTTTGCTTGATCGTTGATCTTTCCTCATTTTGCTTATGTAGCTGGTGGATTATCATTTGTATTTTCCTTTCGTTTCTCATAATTTTATTTTTTTAATTTTTATTGATTACATGTGTTAGAGAGTCGAGAATTTTGCAAGTTCAAAATTCTATGAAATTTGGAATCAATAATCATCTTTATATTTATTTCTTGCATTCAAATAATTGGTATTTTTGCCCTTTAACGCACAAATGACAGTATGGTGCATAAAATTTACATGTAAGTCTATCAGAGAAGTCTTATCGATCAGCTAAAATAATTAGATTTATTGGTCAAAAGTTGTGACTAGGTAAGAGATAATCACAACATGAATTGCGCTAGCATGAGTCCAAATCTCAGCTAATCATGTAAATGTATGCGAAACAGAGGTTAAACCTAAGTTTTCTTAGTGTTAGTGGAAAGTTAGGGATCACAAATTAAGAAACTTCTTGCATCTTTCCAGTTCCTATCTCCTTTTACTCAGTCAACAATAGTAGTATTTACTTTGGAGAAAAAATAAGAGTACTTACAAATAAACTAATTTGCACACAGAAGAGTTTGTATATAAGCTCTGCACTTTACTCAATCTAGTTTAGAAGGTTTACTTTTTTCTATATATACTAGTATTAGTACCCGATCGATGCGCGGACACAAATAATGTTAAATTGTGATGTTGGTTATTTGAATCATGTGCAAATAACCTTAAAATATAAACCTCTCAGATAAAAATTATATAACATTAGATATTAATTATGAAGTAGGATATGAAATTATTGTTCAAATCTCGTAGTGCACAACCTATTTTGTTTTTTATTTGTAGCAACCTAACTACTTGATTTTAGTACTTGCACTTTGCTTTGCTGTAAGTATCAAAGAATACTAAACTTATCATGTTGTGATCTGTCTTGTTTGAGCACATTAGATCATATTATTTTAACAAACTTCTTACTATCACTTTGTTTTTATCTAAAAATTAAATATGTCTTATTCGTCACATTATTTTTACGCAAATTCTTTTTTCTTTTATTTTTTTCTTATAGTTATTGTATTATTTATTATTTAATATTATTTTACTATCATATAATTTTTTATTATCTTAATTAATATCTTGATTATTATTCTTTTAATAGCCTTTAATAAATATAAATGTTTCACTCTTGAAATTTGGTATATTTTTATGCATTCAAATTTTTTTAATCATTTAAATTTATTGTAATATTTTTAAATATAATTTAATTTTTTAATTGATTTATTTTTAAATTAATTTAATGTACAAGTATCCTCACACTACCTCTATTTTTTTAATACATTCTCTTCCCTACTATAAATTTAATTATTTTTATATTAATTTTTTACCTTTAACCAGAATAATATCATATTTTATTTTAAATTGTAAAATTGAATTAGTCTAAAATATTAATACATATATTTGATGATTATGTTACAAATATATTGAGTTCTCTTATAATTATTTTTGTATTAGATGCAGTTAAATTTTCTTTTTTTTTAGCTTTAAGATACAAATTTAATTTTTAATTTTCATTAGTAAAATTACCTATATTAGAAACTTATTTATATTTTTATTTTAATCATAGAAAAATAATTTCTTAATTGTTTGAACATATTATATATATATGTAGTAATATGTTTATTGTCATTTTATTTCTTTACGTAATATTTTTAAAAATAAAAACTTATGAAATAAAAAAAACTCATCTCAAATTCAAATAATTCTTATCATTCTATTTTCTAAATTGGACCGCATTTTCAAGAAGATTAGACCATTCATACTGCCAACTCTTTTATTATTAATAGTTTCAATTAAGAGACAACAATGAAATAGGATAGATATACTATAAAATATTTATACTACAAAATCACTTTGAGAATAAACAATCTTTGCACCAATTTGAGATCATGAGAGTAAATACTCTTTACACTTAGATATTGGTTAAGAGTTAATTTTCTTTTATAATTAAATATATTATCCCACAATTTTCGAAATGAATTTCACATGATTCCATGCATGCAATTATGCAACATATATATACATACCCCATGCTTTTTGTCCGTGCAATAACAACTAAAAAAATAAAAATAATTAATTTAGCATGTATTTTAAGATCATCATAAGTATATCATCTATCCTAATATTTAAAAAAATAAAACTAACAAAAATCACAAAAGGTAGGAATTCATAATTAAATAATAAAGTAAAGTTAAAATAATAGAACCTGATTTTTATTGAGTATCATCCTAGAGATTTTATATATCGTCAAAAACTGTCGTTTGAGTGCGGTCAATGCTTTTTATAATTTTCCTTCCATTGGCAAGGTTTGATTGGATTTCTATTTCTCATCTTCGAAATGCATTATGTAGACTCCTTTATATGAGAAGATGGGGCAGCAATCATCAATTGACACAACTTTTGATAGCAATGTATCCCTCATGGAAAGATATGCCACAATACATTTCTTGTCACATATAGAAAGGAAATATAAAATGAACAATCGTGTCTTCCCCTCCTTTAGGCTCAATCAATAAAGCAGTAACCGTTGAACGTCAGTAACTATTAACTATGAAAGGATGCATCTCTTCATACAAATTTAATAAATTTTTACTTTAATATGATATTTGAATTAATTAGAAGGGCAATTATGTAATTCAACTTTTTAGTTAAGATCTTCCCGCGTTTTAATTTTGCCAAAAAAGTTGGAAGGAGATAGCCAAATCTCAGGCTTTAGCAATATTGTGCGATTTATGCACCCACCACCAGACTGATTCCTTTGGTCCTTTATTGTAAAATCACCTTTGAAATCATAGAATTTCTTAAATGCTACTGTCAAAATCCTCTCAGTTCACCAATGGCAAAATCTCATCAAAACTCCAATCTTGTCATTGCAACAAAACTCGAATTTGACCTTTTTTAATAGTTTTTTTAGTGGATATGGGTATGGTTGGCATTCATTGAAACACCTAGACAAAGCCATATACAAAATTTGAGGAAACTGGCGGTGTTTGGACTCTTTTAAAATTAAATTTCAGACCTGGAAAATATTTTTCGTGCATGTGTATATCGCGTTATATATCGTAGATAGCGATGTATATCATACACTTTCATGATTATATACATATATATGTGATATACATGAGATAAATAAATATATAGGATGATATACAGTGATATATATGGGAAGATACATAGATATATAGGGAATATTCACGGATGGAATTGTCTTCAACAACGAATTTTCAACATGATATAGGGAATATACATGGATGGAATTATTTTTATAAATTGGAGTTGGGATATTCCAAGACACTTCCAAACCTCTATAGAGATGCTATCTGGACCACAAGCTATTCTAATCTTCTTGTTTTTATGGCATCCTTTATCTCAATCGGCCTAATTCTATGATTGTAGCTAAAGTTTTTATTGCACACATACATCTAGAGGTATAAAATGCTATTCTCTTGGTTGGACTTAAACAATTGATCAAAATATCCTCTCCATCTTTCCTTGATCATTATCTCCTATTGTTGAGAACCGTCTTTAATATACCTCACATGGCACTACAACAAAAAAGACCTTTAGTGGCAATAACAAAAGCTGCAAAATGTATGACCTATGAAATTTTTGGAGAGTTATAGTGGCCATTGCAATAGCTAGTAAACAATTGCCTCTAAATCTGAAGGATTTTTACCGACCGCAATAGTGATCTTTACCAGCAGTCCCTCTAATGGCCGCTGAAGCCTTTATCGACGCTAGCTACAATGGCTAATACTTAATGGATGGTAAATATTTTAGCGGCCATTTCTATTGCCGCTAAAAAGTATTTTTATTGCCATTAACAACCTTGTTTGTTGTAGTGTGGTTTAAATCCTTACCCCTCTTCTCTCTGTCTTGCTAGTTTAAATATTTCTTTCTCCTCGCGCCCCTAGATTTTAGTACAAGCTATCTAGAGATTCCCCTCGGATTTAACTAATAGCCTTCTTAGCTTCCTTATTAGCTCTTTTGTATTCTTCAAAGGCTTCTATGTCTTATGCTTTTGAAAACTTCCTATAACACTCTATTTTAGCTTTGATAACTCTTTGTACCTAATTTTCTCCACTAATATTCATGTGGTCGAGGTCTTGACCTTTAGACACACTTAGCACTTCTGTTGTTACTTCTTTAATGCAACCTGATATTTCCTTCCAAAGAATATTTGCCTCTCCCTCTAAATCCCAATCTCCCTTTTTCTGTAATTTTTCTTGAAACTGTAATTGGTTGGAGCCTTTAACACCCATCACCTAATACAGGGTAGTGTGTAATTCATCTCATTTGTCAAAATATTCTTAAGTTTTGCATTTAATACTACTAAAGTACGTTGGATGGTCATCGCATCTCCCGGAATAACCTTAAAGTCCTTGCATGTACTTCTATCTCGTCTTTTTGTAAGGATAAAGTCTATTTGACTATGGTTATCCCACTCTGACAAGTTATCAGGTGAGAATCTCTCTGTTTAAATATGTGTTAGCTACCACTAAATCATAGGTTAAAATGAATTCTAAGATAGCCTTCCCTTCGTCATTCCTAATACTATAAACATAACCTCCATGTACTTTTTCAAAACCATCGGGCATGATGGAAAATGCTTTTCGAAAAAATAAAAGATTCTTTCTCTCGCTATCTAATACTTTCTAAAAATAATTGGTAACCACGTCAAACGAACTACCAGAGAAAAACATAAGCAAAGAAGGTCCTTTTTCACTTTTAATGGAAAATGCTTCTGAAGAAATAATGTTTTTGGTGTTTTTTTGCCATAAAATTAATTATTCCTACGTACCAAACACATCCAAAATTTTCAACTTGATTTCCCTTAAAAAATAATGGAAACCTATTTTATTTTTAATTAACTCTGCTGTATGGTGACAGCCCCCTTTCATAGATCAAAAAGACATAATTACAACAAAGGATGTGAGACTTAACTACACCCCGATTCAGAATAGCTTTTGCCTCCACAAAATTATTAGTACCACAA